GATCGCCTATTTTTTTTATTTCAGAATAAAACTAAGTTTTGAAGGGAGAGGTTGTTATAAATTTCTCTTTATTTTAATGTTTTTTTTATGATTTTATTATGCACATTTGGTAGTAAGAAGTTGATCTATTTTCAAAATAACTACTTTTCTCGCTTCTGGTACTTAAAGTAAATAAACTTTCTCTTTCACACTACATCATTTGGACAAACTTTCATAATTTTTTTGTGGTTAGTAGTTAATTATAACGCTGTAATTTTAATTGAATATGTAGATATTGCATTTTTAAGTATAAAACTAATTATAACTACTGCACTGTATTTTTTGCAGTGAGTGAGTGAGTGAATATTAACGTCGCACTGTTCAGCTACACGAGGGCTTTTGGAGACGGACCATGTAATTTTGAACAATGGTCAAGTGACGGGAACGACACTTGAGCTGGCACCCCCTTCTCCTAACTACCACACCACACCAACTTAGCAGGAATATTCTACCAATACTAAGCTTTAATATTCTTTGAAATCCATTCTTCCAAGATATATGGCAGCACGGGTTCTATGATGAGTATTTTATTGGGAAAGCGAAAAGTTTTGTAGCAGATATTGCGTCTTCAGCGGATTGCAAAGATTATTATTTTAGTCGCAAAAAATAGTTAATGTCGAAATTTAAGTGTCTTATGGTTTTGTCTGTTGATAAAGACCTTGGAAAATGATTTGATTACTTATTTTAAGTGAACGGTGTACATAATTAATTTTACAGTGGAATATCTTTAATTAATTCATTAGCTCTAACGGATTAAATTTTCCAAAGTGGAGTATTTTGTTTATGTATATCCCTTAATTTGTACATGTAGTGATCCAAAAAAATTGTATGAAAAAAACTGCAGTAAATCATAATGCGGTTGGATAAAGTATTAAAGCGCATTTCTCCCCTACACGGCGGGTCTTACAAAGCTCTAATAAAGCTCCAGTTACGAAAGTAGCTAGGCATTTGTGCCAATTTGACTCTATCGTTAACATTTCGCTATGTTTTTCATTGAATCGCCATTATAATTTAAGAAACGGATTGCTTGCGAATATTACAATTTTAAAATAAAATAATTACAACAGAAAGTAATATTAATGTATTACACTTTCAGATAGAAATTATTTACACTACTTTAAGCGTTCATTACGCAAAACTTTTAAGAATGTGTTACTTTTGCTGAGCAGAGATCAGCTTAGGGAGGTATTTTGAAAAATCGACCCTCAAGAGTGTTACGAGGAATTATAAATTTAAAAAATCTTTTTTATCGGCTATTAGATCTACATAGTTAAAATTTAACAAAGGTGTTTTTTTTTCTTTCTTTTTTTGTTTAGCTGAGATATGCAAAAAGTTTTTTTCTTGTTTAATTTTCAATTCACATAAAATTAACTCATTAAAAACTCCTTTTTACATCAATCTGTGTTGTTTAATTTTTCAGTTCACCCGTGCGTAGAACGGGTATACCAGCTAGTATATAATATTTTGTTTTTATATGCTTTATTTTAGGTCCGGAATTGTGAATATTAGGAACCGTATTATTTGTCTGTATTGCATCCACCATTCCAATAATCATCAAATTTATAGTTGTAAATTAAAATAGTTTATAAGTACCTTAGCTCTCAACATTTTGTAAGAGCTGAGAGACCAGCTCTGACAGGAGAGGGTGATTTTGTAGGATTTTCCCTTTGAAACATTTTGTTGAAAGGTTCAGTCATATCCTTTTCAGAGGACAATTAATGTCAATTTTGTTTATTACTGCATTCCGAAGCAGCGCCATCTAGTGAGCTTTGTAGCTCCGGCTTGAATAATTTTTCGGCAGAGGCCTACTAACCACCGCCGATTCAACACGTCACGCTTTTAGCGCATTTCGCGCCCTGCGCGATACCAGTCCTAACGTCCAAGCATGAGAAAGGTAATTAATTTCCCCATCTTCTCTATAGATATAACTCAACTTTCAATTAACCTAATTCCTGCATGTCTTTCTCTTTGTAAATATCCCCTTTTGTAAATATTTCCCTTTAACTTTAAATAAATTCTTTTTTACTTAAATGAAGTATCTGTGTTAAAATGACTTTGATGCAATTAATTTATCACTAACCCTTTAATACTTACCCCTAGACAACCACCTCGTAAATCTAAAATCCCGCCTTCTGAAGAGTCTGATTTGTATTCGAAGATTTTATTCGGACTCCCATATATATATATATATATATATATATATATATATATATATATATATAATCCAATATAAAAAATTCAATATATAATTATATACATATACATACACATATATATAAATTTATACCAAAAAAATCAATGTAAATAAAGAATATCAAACAGAATATTGTGCATTACATTATATATTAATATATATATATATATATAATTTTTACTATGTTTATGTTTCAAAAATTTGTGAATGTATATTATAATAGCATGACTTTCTTTTGTTTTATCTGTACATCTTCTGTAATACGTAATTCTGTCTGACTGAGTCCAAACATGAAAGATTTAATGTGTTTTATGTTAAAACTGTTACCGAAACTTTTACAAATATTTAAAATACTATTTGTAAGTACTTTTGGGTCTCTACTTAATCATTTAGTTTTAACCCTTCTAGTTTTTCTTTTATTAATTTTTTTATCTCATTATTGCAATAATTATCTTAAAAATTTTGTTTAATTGTATTTAGAATATTTTTTTCTTGGTGTGTAATACATTTAGTACATAAGGATAAACTGCATCATAATATTGTATATAGTTATTTTTCCACCATAATTTTTCTTTATTACAGCAACTACATTAATAATATTAAGTTAAACATTTTCAAATCCATGTGTAAAATGTCGTATTTCTATTTTATTTGAATTTTTAAAACTATTGAAGTACATAATATCAGATCTGTGTTGATTAATTCTAATATTAATTTTATGAGATGTCTGTCCAATATATTTAAATTGGCATATTTTACATGTCAATAAGTAAACACAGTTAAATGTCTTATAGAAGGTAAATTTAGAATAATCTCTTTTATATATATATATATATATATATATATATATATATATATATATATATATATATATATATATATATATATACGTACTTTCATTGACAAAAAAATTAGCGCACCAAGAAGGAGTCGTCAAAATGAAACGATATTTTACATACGTCATTGCTACTTTGATATAAGTAAATGATTAGAAAATCAAAGAAAAAGGATAATTTACTTGAGAGAAAAGGCAAAAGGGTGGAGGCTTTAATATCCTGTTGAACTCCGTCTAGCGCGAATGCTCGGTGCGATACTATCGGGCAATGAGGCATACAAGTTCTGTATGATGTCTTGAGACATTTCGTTCCATATTTGCTGTAAGCTTGCCTCTAGTTCATTCAGACTCGTGGGATGCCCAACTCGCCGTCCAAATCATCCCAGATATGCTCAGTTGGAGACAAATCTTGGGATCGGGCAAACCTAGGAAGGGTAGTAACAGTGTGGAGACTGTCTTGTCATGTGAGGCCTAGCATTGTCTTGTTGAAAAATGTCTCCTGGGAGTCGATACATGAGTGGCAACACATGAAGTTGCAGGATGACATGGACATACCGCTGGGCTGTCATGTGGTGTCACGGATCAATACTAGGGGTGACCATGCATTATAGGCAATGACACCACATACCATCACACCATCTGTGGGTGTGGTGTGTCGCTGTAATGCAAAGGCCGGATTGAGACGTTCACCACGGGTCTCCACACATGAACACAATTGTCATCATTGCTGAGACTGAATCTAGATTCATCGCTAAAGACGACCTGGTTCCATTCCGCTGCATTCTAGTTTCCTCGTGCGTAGCACCACTCCAAACATAGGCGTCGATGGGTGGGCGTCAAGGGTAGCACACGTAATGGGCGTCGCGATCCCAAATGTCCTTCAACCAGGCACCTTCGTATGGTTTGAGAAGACACAGGGGTCCTTAATGAAGGTGCTACCTGTGCTGATAGCGACTGATGAAGCAGTTGGCTGTATGTGTGCATTTCTTACGATGTGGTGGTCTTCTCAAAGACTGGTCTGCAGAGAGCGTCCTGATCCTGGTCTTCGTGTAAATGACATCGCTCGAATCCTCTGGTCCCAACAACTCCTTACAACACAATCAGAGCGGCTTAATTGACGAGTTACTTGCCTAGCTGACCACCCAGCTTCCATCATGCCAATGATCCTCCCCTTTCAAACTGCGACAGCTGCTCATATTGTCTTCGAAAACGGCTTAATAGCATGTCTACCTCAGCTCTTCTTTTGTAAACGATTCAGCCCATTCAAACAAGCTTTGGTTACCTGTTTTATACTCCACGGAGAACGATGTTAAATGCCCTCTACCGGCTATACGTAATGCGCAATCACGTTGCATTTCTAATCATTTGCATATCTCCCCGACATGTACCTTCATGCCAAGTTTTTTTTACAATCCTGCAATTATTTCTAGGTGTGATAATTTTTTTTGTCCATCAGTGTATATATATTGTTCAAATTTTCAATCGTTAATAAAATACTTTCTATTTATCCCTTCAAGTTCAAATACATTTTTTTTTAAATTTGTAGTTGTTGACACTTGATGTTTATACAGTTTTAATTCATTAATTAAATTAAAAATGAATAAATAGTAACAGACAAAAATAATAGATGTAAGCATATAATCGTCCTAATTATAAAAATGCGTAACTCCATCTGGGGTGCTACTTTGATATGGAAGTGCTACGCGCCAAGTTGTTGTTTATGTTCGCCAAGATGGGCACTAACATTACAATATGGTTACTTTGATATTTTTATCGTATGGTTATGTGGTTGCCATGGGGATAACGGAGCGATTAAGGAATCGCGCCAAAAAGCGCAGCACGTAGCCGACCTATTTCAAACTTAGTTCCTTTGTGGAGTTACGCATTCTGATCATTTGGCCGGCAATATGTGGAAAGGAAAATCGTTGCAGTGTCCTTGTAGCTCAAGGGATAGAGCGTTTGACTTCAAATCGAAAGATCGTGGATTCAAATCCCACCTGGGATGGCCTAATTTCTGAGAAAGTTTCTTTTTTACTATACTATTTTATCAGAATAATTAAATGTAATTAATGAATAAATAATAACAAAGAAAAAATTGTCCAACAACATACTTAGAAAGGAAAATAGCTTTCTATTTTGTCACTTAATATTGTGATTCTGCCATATGTATATACATATTTATATTAATTGTAACTATTTAATAAAAAATCACTAAAATAAATTTTTTCTTTATTGATCTAAGTAGGAATTGACTTATTTTTATTTTATTTGTTTAATATGTTATTTTCCTATGTATGTTCTACATTAAAACGCTATTTAAATTAAATATGACTGAGAATATTTTTTTTTAAATTTAAAATACATTTTTGCGTAATATTGATAGCATTTGTTACGACGACAGTCGATTCTCCTTAATCTTAACTCAATTTTAAATCGGGGCAGTTTATGAATTATTAGCTCTTGTTGTACGACATTAAAATACTAAAATATAGTACAACAGAATGTCTACAATTGTGTAGTTCGGTAAATAAAGGAAATATTCAGTTTTATCTGCAATACTTGAATTCAGAATACTTGTATTCGGAAGTCTAATTGCAGTATGAGCAGAGGACTTTTTTATAAATGCATCATTTTCTGTGGTATTCCATCTCTTCCAAATATTGATTCTCACAGCAACATGAATACGTTTTTGCCATGGTATTTTTTTAATAGGAAAAATTAATGATAAAACTTATAAATATATTAATTATTTTTATAGCAAACATTAGACTCGAAATGAATCTTAGTTAAGTAACTATGAAAACTCAAAAAACTCAGAACATAATCAAGCAGAAATGGTTTTAGTACATAATGAAAATTGGAAATAATAAACATGTCACACTAAAAGAGTTGATTGTGCTCAAAATATTCTTAATTCAATTTAACAGCGGAAAATGCTTTAAAATGAAACCGAAACCGAAGCTCAGAAAACTTATTTGTTATTAGATCTGAAATTTGGTAGCAAGTTTCCTAATGATATGGGCCGCAAGAAAAGGAGAAAAAAATCAGTAATTTTGAAGTTTGTAGGGTACTGTAGATACTTGACACATAAATCAATACAGATGATACACTAAAGTACCGATGATTAATATAATGAATTTAATCCGGCGTTTATAAATTGTACACAAGTCCTATGTATATATTTCTGTTTTCTGATTAATTATCGCTGCAAAAGCATTTTTGTTTTTGAAACTGTTCTTTCATTATCCTAATGAAATGTTTTGCAAAAGCGGAACTGAAGGACTACCGAAAAAGTGCCTCTTGGAATAAAAAATGTAAAGCATCTTGCTAGCAAGTTGATCTTCGTTTTCCACATAAATCTACCACGGGGTCGCTATTGGCCTGAATACCACGGAAAGTGTCTGATAATTATCTTAAAATATAAGAGAATGATGAGAAATTCATAGCGTATTCACTCTACACGTGGCTGCGTAGAGGTTCGCGAAGACATCATTAAAAGGGAATATGAACCCTTTTTACTGCAAAGTAAAGAAGAGAAACCAGATATTCTGAGGGAGAGAGAAGGAATCTCAGACGAGGTCAAGGATTTCACTCCCACGCATCGGAGACTTGTTTTAGGATGAGTTCTGCCTTCATCTTTTCTCCATTGAGATTCTTTTTTTTTTCGTGCCAAATCACATCTTTGCAAATTAAGAAACTAACAATCTAATATGTCGGGCATGGGTTGATTAATCGTATATTAACTTCCACTAAAATGTAACGAAGGTTTTTGGAGGTGAAATCTCACAATTTTGAATGAGGGTCAAGTGATTAGGACATCATCTCAACTAATACCCCATTCCAACTTCCCAAAATCAGGAAGGATGCATTGTACATTAGCCCCTCTAAAAGGCGGCAGCATCTGGACTCGAATTAGGGATGGCGATCTGAGATGGATTAATCGAAGAATCGATTTCTCGGGCCAAAAAAATCGATAGGTAGCTCTGAATCGATTCCGTGAATAGATATTTCATCCTAGGAAATCGACATTCGATTTTTTTCTGTTTTGGTAAAAACCATAAAGTGTATTACTTACAACTAATTGAATGCACGATCTTTAAAACCCGTAATATTACAATGTTGGCGGTTAAAGGGTTAATTTCTCAAAAACTCGCGAGATGCCTGTCTGCTCCATTTCCTTCGCCTCTCTTTAATAAATAAATAAAAAAAATTGTGTATGCTTATGACTACACGCGATAGAAGTGATAACTTCAAATTTTGTAATGTTATTTCTGGTATTAGTTGCGTGAATAAAAAGCAAGGGGATATTAGTATTGTCCTATCAAATTATTTATTCATATGTCTATACTCATAAAGTAATATTTTTGCGCGAAATATGCAATCATGTTTGGGAACTAATTGTATTCTAAAAAGGAAACAATAGGTTTATGGTTGCTGAAATAGGTTATAAATTCTTTAGATATTCAAAATTTTATTTAAATATCTATAAACAATTTCCGTCAATCGTTCTTCCGTATTTCCTCGTGCTTTATTTGGATCATTTGACATAATTAAATTGAATTTTGATTTTAAAAAATAAGCTGAAGGTTTTGATTTGTCTTTTGAAAAATCTATTTTAAAATTTCCACTTAAAATCATAGGTGATTTGTTCAGAAGACTCGATTCGGCTTTGAGAATTTTGGTTGAAGTTTAACAATATTCAATTCTATCCACGAATTAATTTAAGCAAAGGGAAAGTAAGACAGGTAGTTGATTGAGAAGAGAGGAATCTATGTCAAAACCTTTAAAAAGGGATTTAATCAGAAGATTTATATCGCAAAATCTCTGGCTTACACTAGCTCTTTGTCATTGCATGGCAGTTTTGTAGAAATATATCTGGTGCTGTTGCAAGGAAAGTCTTCTTAATTATATTTTGTTTTTTCTTGTATTTAACTGATTTAATGTAATTTTTTCTTAATACCTGTACACTTAATTTTGTTATTTTAAATTTTTAATTGTCTTTTTAGAATCAAAGTATATTCAAGTAATGTGATTAATAGAACTATTTGTTCATTGCTATTCCGATTCGCTTACAAAAATATATTTTTATTCTTAAGATTATTGCAATATTGGTAATGATAATTATACAATAAACTTAGTTCTGTAAAAAGTTGTCCTTTTTCTACATTTTATGTTTAATTTTAGTGTAGGATTTCTCTTTCTTTCTAAGCCTATTTTTCATTTCCTACACACACACACTATTAGCTCAAACTCTCTATATATTTATCTTCGTGGAATTTTCAATCATTAATAAAATGCATTTTAAAGCCCTCGATTGAACTGAAATTTTATATACATGATTATTTTGGATGATAATACACTAATTTAATTATAATTAATTGATTAAAACTAATTATTCAAAGAATTACAAATACAGCCACGTTGGAATCATTTTTTGCGACTTGTGTCAAAACTTGAGAGAAAAGGCTTTTTTCTCACATTTTGAACCCCTCATTTGAGCTGAAATTTTCTCTACGCTATTGTTTTGGGTAAAAATGCGTTAATTTAATTATAATTAATTAAAAATTGACTGAAACTAATTATTTAAAGAATTACAGATACAACCACGTTGATTTCCTTTTTAGCGACTTGGGTCAAAACTTTAAAAGATTTTTTTCTCACCTTTTAAAGCATTCAGTTAAACTGAAATTTTATATACACGATTGTTTTGGATGACAATACGATGCTTTGATGATAATGAATTGCCACTTAAGGTTGTGATTCTGTCATATGTATATACATATTTTTATTTATTGTAACTATTTAACAAAAAAGTAGCTAAAATATAATTTTTCTTTGTTGATCTAAGTAGAAATTGGCTTATTTTTTATATATATTACTTGTTTAAAAATATTGCGTTTCATTTACATGCTTCAACTTGGATTAAAAAGAATCCCGCATTCATTTGAGTAGAAAGAGGTGGCGGGGGGAGGGAGCCCCACTTAGATCGAAGCTAGGAACTTTTACTTTTATTGGTGGGGGGGTGGGGCAAACTACCGGTTTCAAAGAGGAGAAGAGGAGAAACGTCCCTCCTTTCGTTTTTAGGGGTGTGTATGTCCGAATGAAGACGAAGAAAGCCTAATCAGCGTTACATTCCCGAGCATGACGTTCATTCAAGTTCACTCTTCGGTAAATCGAGCCAATAGAAGTTGTAACTTCCAAAAGTGTTTGGGATCCGATTGCATGCCCTAGCACTCCACAAATGTTTTTGATCCGTCAGGTAAGATCATGCTTTCAAAATGGTTTGTCCTTAGTCTGGCTAGGGTCGTCGTTATCTTACGGTCGTAGTTCAATTCTGGGAGTGAGAATCTCTTTTCCATGGTTTTGTGCAAAGCTTCTGTTTTGTGACTAAATTGGCATCAAAAACTGAAGAAGACAGAGGTGAAGGCTCGATTGTACTGGCTTCTTTGACAAGAGAGTCATCCAGTTTGTTCCCCTCGATATCAAAGTGAAACGGGATTCAGGGTGCAGAAAGTGCCCATTGCCTTAGTGTTGAGCAGAATAGAGTTGATGTCTTGGGCGAGAACCTTGTTTATCCTCCCTGAATGACTTCGAGAGTGGATCTGCAATGCGAGAGCACAATGATGCCATCGCAGTGAGCGATATTTGTCTGTTCTAGGTATGTGTCTTGTGGTGTGTGTGGGGCGGGGGACAAACTACAGCGTGTCAGAGTGGAGAGGGAAATGTCCCTTCTTTCCTTTTTAGGGGTGTGTATGTCCAAATAAAGCCGAATGAGCGTTACATTCCCGAACGTAACGTTCATTCAAGTTCACTCTCCTGTAAATCGCGCCAATAGAAGTTATCACTTCAAAAAAGTTACGTTTGTAATGTTTGACTTTTTGTATTTGTTGATATTGCGTCATTTGCTTATGCTTTGGTTGACTGACTGTAGTAATGAATTGTGATTAGGGAAATAAATATTTATTTTTATGTAGTATTTTTTTTACGAAATAATAAGTAATTGAG